TTGAGGATTGAATTAAACAATCCACCACAACTTACTGTGGTCGAAACTATGTTAGGAAAGCCTAAGTGGTTGGTTTCATATTTAAAATTATAAAATTTGGAATATATATATATTTGCACGGACAATTAGTTGAGAATTACATAGCTCTCCATGTAAGAAATGCGTTGTGATTGCATGTATCCCGTTCACCATGTAACCTTTTCAACCAAAAGATCGTCAGGTTAATAAAAAATAAAATAATAGGAGAAAAATAAAAAATAAAATAAATTAATAATAATAATCTTCGTTGGACAGCGTTAAGAGAGTATGAATTCACTTCTTCGTTTTTTAGGGGTAAGTGTAAAATTTACCCAGTATTTTAAAAAATGTGCAAATAACATTTTTGTTATTCAAACTTGATCTCTCTAATTTTAAAATAATGCAAATAAAGAATTTTTGTCTGAACGATAAGTAAAAATACAAAAATACCCCCAATATTCTTTATTTAATAATAATAAAAATATTAGAGAAGTTGAAATTACCCAAATAAACATGAACTTAAATTACGTCCTGCACAATTACAAACTACGTCGTTTTGGGTTGTGCTATGACTAGTCATATACTTCTTCTTCCCAAACACAGCCTCAAAATTTCACACCGTTGCAAAGCTACTCCTTCGATCCTCCAATCAAACCAGTCGTTGACGGCGGCCGTCTCTACTATGATCAATAATATTGATAAATTTTATTTTTCTATTATATATATGTGTGTGTGAATGGTTCAACATGATGTCAACATATTCATGTACCCTTTTTTGAGAAAATAAATTGAGTTTTAAAGGCCTTTCAATTGTATCTATAATGTTGAGTGCTTTGCCTACCAAAAAAAATAAAAATGAATTGTGCAAATGCTTTTTTTTTTTTTTTTTTTTTTTGGTATTATCAAGGATTGTGCAATGTCAATCTTAATTTTACTCTGGAAGTCCTGGTTCTGCTTCATGCTGATTTCAATAGATTTTGGCGTACTAACAGTGTGTTTGTCAGCTTTGTGCTTCCAATACCACCTTATATATATGAGTAGTATATATAGAAATGAGGGATATTTGGATATAATATAAATATGAGAGAAATAATAGGAATATGAATATAATGAGTATTATACATATAAATTATGTGTATTATATATAGATTATTTATAAAAAGGAAATTAATTAATACAAATAAGAAAAAAAACATAGAAAGAGAATATATATATATGTAGAAAGAGAGAAAAATATGAGTATTGTATATAGAAATGAGGGATATAATATAAATAGGAGAGAGAAATATGAATATAATGAGTAATATATATACAAAATAGGAGAGAATAACAAAATTTAAAAATTATTTTCATGTTTCCAATAAATCCCCTGTATTTTTAAAAGTGTGCAAAAACCCCCCTGTATTTTCAAAGGGGTATTTTGGGTAGTGCAAAAGGGTATTTTTGGCATTAAAGGCCAACTTTTACTAACATGCACGACACATGCCAAATTTGTTAGTCAGAAGCCCTTATTTGCAACTTTTTGAAATTAGAGGGGCCAAGTTTGAACAACATGGGTGTTATTTGCACATTTTTGAAATTACAGAAGTGTTTTTTGCACTTACCCCTTTTTTCTTACCTTTAAGAGTTATTTTTGTCTTATTTTAGTTGAAAAATGCGATTAAAGTAAAAATATTAACAAATTCATTCATTTTAATAATTAATCTTTTGTGAAAGTAAGTATATTTCGATGGGCAATGTTTAATTTGTCTCTTAAAAACAATTATCAAGAATTATTTAAGAAAAGTATAAAAGATAATTATCTAAAAATAAAATTTTTTTTAATTGGTTTTAATTTCAGAAAAACAATTCTTACAAATTGTCAATAAAAAAAGATTATGTACGAAAATATATATATATATTTTTAATTCTCATAAAACATAAAACTGAACCAAGCAGCCAGCAAGTCCTAGATTTGTTTGAGTGTCACCATTTGGCATTCTCGGGGTTTGGACTAGCTAGGCTTCAACTAATCAATAGATCAGATCGGACAAAAAAAGTAGGGCCCAACCCAGTTCAATGGGCCTACAAGCTTTTATTTAAAAAGCTATTAAAATGGAATTAAAAATTTTCCCTCCTAAAGGATGGAGTACCACGCCAAGGCACTGTACCTTAGCAGTACTTTCTTATGTGAATAGTAGAACATGTTCCGCACAATTTATGATGTACTTTACAAAAAGGTTGGGATATTTATTAAACACCTAGCTTTTTTGTAAGGTGCATCTGGAATTGAACGAAACATGTCTTACTATACCATTGGAAAGGATTCGAGTCCCTATGCAAGGTGTGGAATAAGCAAGATATCATTCCCGGCCAACACATATGTAAATTGGGGTAAGTGCAGAAAACACCCCTGAAGTATATGTTTCGTAGCACTTTTAGCCCCTATTTAAAAAGGTGTGCAAAAAATACCCCATATTCTTTTCAATTTGAGCAAAAACACCCCTCAATTAATATAATATTTATTTTACCCTTTTACTCTACCAAATATACCCCTACAAAACCTTACTCTTTACCCCAAAATGGCAACCCCATCTCTTGCATCACCGCCTCATCCTTGCCATACACAATCCTCCAACCTCCACCCCCCTCTCTCTCTCCACCCCCACAATCGCCACCCACGATTAGATACACAACCTACCAAAATAAGTACACTACTCAAACCTCCGATCATCATCTTCAAACCTCCACCCCACAACCATCACAGGCAATAACATGATAAACTCATATCTGTTACAAACTAATGCAGGTGATAGTAACATCGTATGCTGTACAAATGGAAAAAAGGAAGTGTTAACAGTACTATCATCTCCAGCGACTGCATCTTCAACGTTGACGGCGAGAGCTAGACGTCAACAATCCTTGCCCACTGATTAGCATCGTGACTCTTACAGCAGTTGTTCACTTCTTGTAAGCAGAGCATTCTGTCCTTGCTCGTCGCTAGTTCCATATGTGCTCGTCGGATAGTTACTCACCAATTTGATCACCACCGAACTCATCGTCACTATCGCTTCACAGCAACACCACCACATCCATTACCACAACAAAACCCCCAAAACCAACAAAGACCCAATACTCCAAATGATCTCAAAATCGTATTCGATCCAAACCCACTTCTAACAACTCAACAGTGAACCAAAAAAGAAGAAACAGAGGATCTCAAAATCATATTTTCTATCCAAACCCGGCTGCGCAATAGTGAGGATCCGGAGTTTGGCTGGAGCGAATAAGCTTCTCCGATCTGAATCTCGGGCGGAGCGATGGTATTTATGATAGCGGCGTCTTTAAAATCCCCAAGGAACATGCTGCTGCCACCAATCGCCACCATTAGCACCTCCAGTACCTTCGCCGATTGGTCTTCATTGCTGCCAGTACCTTCGGCGGCCCCAGAACTCGCTACCATCGTTCCGCCATCAAGCTTGCAACTGTCGATCTCTTCCCCGCTCTTGACAACTTTGATCAAGGCTCTGCCCTTGCAACCGTCTCTGTGTGTTAGGGTTGCACGGTATTTTGCAGAATAATGTTTAATGTCCTTTTTGGGTTTTTTACAGAAAAATTATTTTTATATAAATTATTCAATAAGGGTAATTTGGTCAATTTAAATTTTAAATATGTGAGGACTTAATTGCACCAAATTAAAACTTGAGGGGTGTTTTTTGGGTATAAGGGGCGTGATACGCACTATAAACATATTTGAAGGGTGCTTTTTGCATTTGACCCTATATAAATTATATATAGGTTTATACATAAATGATCTCTTGCCCATCAATGAATAATAATTATCCACACCAAATATAATGACTATAAAATATGATTCTAAGTGTCAAAAATGTAGTAAAAAAAAAAACATAGCAATCACATAAATTTCTTACTCCCCTGTATGCAAGAGATCGTCTCTTTTCAAACGCTATGCAACTAATATATAATTTTACAATTATTTATAAAATTAATATATAAATAACTTATATGTCAATTTTTTAACAATTAGTAATGTTTTAGTACTTCATCCTCTCAAAGAGCATATTTAATTTTTTTTTTATATATTTAACAATTAATTGAACCGAGTAGTTTCATATTTCAAGATTCTAAAGCAAAATAGTTGAAAAATGTGTTGGGCCTGGGGCCAACACTCAAATCTGTAACAAAGAAATTTTTGAATGAATGACACAGTGTAATTACACTAAAATCTTTGAAATCATGCATGTAAATTTGAAGGAGCAGGAGTGCCAAATTCTAAGACCTCAAAAACACTAAATTTTTTTATATGAAAAATTTGTGAATTAAGAATGCATGTTTAATCATTATTTCCACAAATTATTTTAAAAAATTTATTTATAAGTAAATTGAGATAATAGATAATAGAGTTTTTAAAAGAAAAGATTAAAACAATATTGTTTAAAATTGCTATTCACCCATCTCCGAGTCTAGTAGATCAGAAAATCTTGCTTCATTTTTTACTTGATTGTTACTAAATTGTAACTACTGTCTCAAGTCTTTTTCAGTTAATTTCGTCATTCTAATTAATTAATAAAATAAACTTTCATAAGTAATATTGCCAAAAATTGAGGGGAGCTGTGTGAGCATTTTGTAAACTATAAACTAGTGTACCAGAGGAGAGGTGAGTGTAATTTACCTTATTATTTATTATAAGATTATTATATATTTGAAAATTTTTGCCGAGAGAAAAAAAAAAAAAAAAAACTATAACTTTAATTACTTTATAATTTCTTACATGAGTTAAAAAAAATATATTTATATTATTGTTATTATTATTTTTCATTGTAATTATGTTTTTATTGACATGAAATGTCACACGGCATTTGTTTAATGTCAAATTTATGCGCCCATACCTGTGCCATACACCACCTAATATCGGTCTGGAAAAGGTTGTTCTAACACGACACGTGTTTCTTAGGTTTTAAATATTCATCGATGAAAACCCAACTCTGACCCTTTTTTATTTTATTTTATTTATTTTTTATTTATAATCCGAATGCACCTCTCTCTCTCTCTCTATGGTGAACACGCCGTCAATCTTCATTGTGGATCTCATCCTCTAGCAACTGCTACGTCGGGGAATTCGTGCCCCTCGGTCCTGCATCTTCCTCATCGAATTCGGTTCATGCTTGCAGCCGTCGATCTCATCCTCGAGCCACATCGTATCATGCAGCCGTCGATCTACATCATGCTTGCAGCCGTCGATCTCATCCTCGAGCCACTTCGGCCCTTCTCTCTCGCTCTCTCTCACACACAAGTTCACTGCCTTTCCTATCGGCGTCGGAACAAGCTTCACGGGTGGATTTTGGTTCGGCCCTATCAATTAGGCCGACTGACACCAGAGGGAGTGTTTGGTTTGGTGACCATGGGAAGCCGGAAATTGATATCGAGACCCCTTTCACGCCAAATTAAAACTAAACCGGTCAGTTTATCTAATTTTTTTAACGCTTTACCAAACACTAATTTTTTTTTTCCCTCTCTCCCCCACTTCAAAAGACGATCAAACGAAAAAAAAACAGACTTCACATTTTATAACATTTCAAACAATTTAGGGGGGAAAAACCAGACTAGAACGTTTCAAAGTCTTTTCTTTAGGGTTTTCAGATCTTCCAGAAGGGGAAGAGACCAGTTCAAAGACTTACCAAGTCTTTTCTTGAGGGTTTTCCGATCGCAAGAAGGGGAAGAGACTACTTCAAAGACTAGTAAGTCCAAAGCGTTTTTTATTCTTCTTGGGTCTTTTTTGATCGTCCCATTGTTGTTAGTTTCTGGGTTTTTAGTTTTTACTTACGATCTTTATTGTTTTTTTTTTTTTTTGATCTGATTGTCTTCAACTATTAGTCGTTGGATTTTTCTTCGTTGAATTAGGGTTTCAATTAATTAAATACCTGTTTCCTATTTCTTCTTAGAAGCCTCTTACACCAAATGAATCTCATCTCACACAAAACAAAATTCCCACATCTTTCTTGGGGTCTTGGGGTTGTTCACGATATTAGCCACTGCTCAAATACCATGTATCTCGAACTCACAATTATTTCTAGGGCTTAAATCATAAAACCCCACAAATCACCAAAATTATTTTAAAATAAATAATAAATAATAATTTCCTTTGAACCCCATGTTTCTTTCATTATACTTCAATTTGTTTTTGCTAAGCCATGCTCTTCCTTTTTTGGTATCTGTAATTACCAGTTTGCTATTTTTTATAACAAGAAGGTTGTGGCAGATTTTGTTTGTGGTTGTGGTACATTAGGTCTTGCAGCTGCTCTCCCACACTCCCTTCTCATATATGCGTAAAAAATGTTCAAAATGTTCATTTATATGTCTTTAAGCCCACCATGTGACCATGTCGCTTGATTCATTGCCAAATTAGAACGTTAGCATCGCACTAATCCCACATGTGACATGGATACCTATTATTTATTGGCAGTCATACATAGGAGTCAATATTGACAACTAAGTCACTGTCCTGTCCATTTTTTCTGGCTTTTAATTTTGTTCTGACCATTTTTTTTTCCCTTTCTTTTTAGATTCAAAATGGATCCTGCCATGCAGGATAGATGTTTTCAAAACACCCTTATAAATTGTATAATAGAAGATGGAGACGCTGTACAGTTGTCTTCACTGTTGAGGAATAATGACAGTGAGTGGGCTTCCAGTCTCAGACTCGATAAAAAAATTTGGAAGATTTGGAACAAGAAGCATGGAATAAGCAGCAGATTTGTTAAGTTTGACCTAAATTTGTTCCAAACTATCGCCTTTCGCGGATATCGCCACATTTCCAAATTTCGATTATACATTCCCCCCTTGTATTTGAGAGAACATAAGATTTCCGTCAATCTTATCATTGCCAGCATTTTGAGAAGAGAAGTGAAGGAACTTATCGTTGAGACCGACGGTGACGTCCTGTATCGAATGCCTTATAGTTTTGCTGACATCGGTTCAGGACTCATTTATCTGAGTCTTTCACGTTGTTCATTCATTACTGGATGCAATTTTCTGAGATTGCTGAGTCTTCAGTTGGAAGACGTATTTTTTAATCCGAAACCAAATAGAAGATTTGGATTTAGTGCCCCACTTTTGAAGAATTTGGTTTTGAACAATTGCGATGGCATTGCTGATGTTGACTTCTATCTGCCAGAAGTTGAGTCTCTAGATATTTTGGGGACTGCGCATGACGTTAAGAAGATAATTGGGAATATACTAAAGTTAAAACAGGCTACTATCGGACTGTCATTGCAACTACCTGTGTGGCCGGCGCACCTCGGTCATTTGGCCAAGGTTGAGGAATTGACTCTGGATGGGAATTTTCTGAAGGTGAGATGTTGGTTATGGTTATGTTGTCTCCCTTATTTTTAATTCTTAAAGTATAAAATCTCACTGTTTTGTGTTTTTTTGTTTTTCTCTTAAAAAGCATTTGATAGATCCAAGCGAATTTCATATTTCCAACCCGGTTCTAAAGACTCTAGAACTTAACCTCCTAAGGAGGTTCCATCTGCAAGAACTGAGTTTGCAAGACATGGATCAAAAAAAAGCTGCGCTTGCCTTGCTCAGAGTTTCTCCAAATTTGGAGAGTATGAGCATATCAATAAAACAGGTAATTTTATTAAATACTATATGATGTTTATTTGAATTTAAAATGTTCTAATGTAGTTTTCTAATGTAGGAGGACGATTCTATCAGAAAGCTGTACTTTGTGAAGCCATCTATGATGCAACAAGAGCTTCTGTCCCTATATATACAAGGGATGTACCCTGGCCTTAACAGAGGCAATCAGCAGGTTGAGAGTTAGTTTAGTTTAGATTTTTTGTGATTGCCAACTCTGGTCCCAACTAACACAGTAAAAGTGTTCTTCCTGGTGGGACCCACCTGTGGCTTCCCCCCAAATTGAAGACGTGCATGTATTGAAAACTGTGCGATAAATTTAGTAGCTGAAGGATGGCTTTTCAGAATAGTGCTTCTATATCTCTTTCTTAAATGATGCATTTTCTTGTAGTTATCTTAACCTGAATATAAATATTTACTTTTCCTTTTTTAACTCTTGACAGATAGTGACCGAACAAAGTTCGAGTTTGACCCCCAGTCGTCACAATAAAACTGGGCACAGTGGTCTGACAAACGTTGGGACACTAACGGTCCATGCCGAGGAAACTGTCGGTTCAAAGAATGCTGTTGAGATGGCATTCCATTGTTCCAACTTGGAAAACAAGGACCTAATTTCCAGAAGTGTAAGTATTTGAAAGCAGAAATCATTATATGGAGCTTTGATTTTTTTTTCTTTCTTTACTCATTGGTTCTGTTGTTTCAATTTTCATTGACTATTTGGCATATTGGCCGCCTTTGTGAATCTGATTTTTGGAGTGACAAATATTTGTATTGTAAAGAATTGTCTGCACTAGACACAGAAATGTTACATGAATTAAGAAAATGTAGCCGTGGTTGATCGGTTAGGTGCTGTCTCCATTCTGCTATCTCTATAGACATTTCACTGTGTACTGAATTGACCATATAGCATGTGTGAATATCCATTCCCAACTCTTAGAAAATGTGGGAAAGCGGTTCTCGAATCCCCAAAATGAAATATTTGATCAACAAAGTTTTAATTTATTTATGCCCTTCATTTCCAACTGCCTATGAGGGAGGAATTCATGAATGTTTTTTTATATAATTCATCATAAGAGGACAAGCTGGTAGATAGATATATACTCTCTGATATGTACTAAGGAATTCTACGAAAATTGTCATTATATGGTTTGACCTTGAATTTTATTTTTTCATTGCAGAGTGATCCTATGGCAGTAGTATATGAAAAGAAAAGAGATGGAACCTTAGAGGAAATTGGCCGTACGGAAGTGATAATGGATCCTGCTTGGATAGGAAAAATTAATGTTTCGTATCAGTTTGAGATTGTTCAGCCTCTGATGTATGCTTGTCGTATTTCTCAACATCCTTGTGTCGATTTCTCTTGTTCACTATATCTAGTAGACCTTTCTTGGTCTTAATTGCCCATTTTGTTTTTTCAGCTTTCGTGTGTACGATGTGGATACGAAATACCACAATTTACCAGTGAAGGTACATTGTGATTTCACTTTCTCAGGTCATTTAGTACTTGGATTTGAATTGAATAATCCTCATTACATAGCTTAGATCTATTTTACACTTGCCAATGCCTAAAGAATGCAATATACCAATGTTGGAGAATAGAGAGAGAATTAAGATTCACCCAAAAAGTAATCGTGGTAATATTTATGAACTGATGCATTTTCTACTGCTTTTGGTTTGGATTTGGAATTCTGATAAAAATGGATAAAAGTATTCAGTTTTTAAATATCGAAGATGCTTGTTGTCTAACATCATACTAGACGGCATGACGGTATGAGATGCTAGTAAACTACTTTATTTTCCACTTACGGATATTATAATTTAAATAGTACATAACAATAGATCTGTTGTTTGTGCCCAGTTGGTGGTTTCTTACGCGGCTTACACAAAGTTATGGGTGCCAGAATTCAACTTGTTTGCCTTGTTGTGGAATGTACTTTACGTCTTACATGTGTGTTAGCTGCGAGTTAGGTGGAAGAAATTTAGAACCGGGGTAACATATGGAGCTGTTTTTTTATTTATCTTTTTTGTTTTTATTTTTTTATGTTGTTTCATTTTTTATTTTTATGTGAATTTGAGACCTAAATAAAATTATGAACGAAGATGAAGACTCATTCACATGTCCTGAGTAAGACAATGATCACAAAAATTTCTTTTTGACTCTGTAACGCTATTGCAGAGTAGTCAACTGCTTTAGCTACTAATTTGGTAGTATAATTCTTTATTTTGACTAGTATGAGTTTGACTTTTTTCTTTCTTCCTTTTTCTTTTGGTTCGTTATTTTGCTATGATATTTGCACACAGAGGTACTAAAGTTTGCTTTAAAAACATTGGTTCAGGCCGTTGACCTTGATCTCCTTCCACTCTAGAACTAACTTTGCTTCAAACCATTCAATATCATATTAAAACAGATCTTAGTGATTTTATTTCGCTCCTTTCTATATTGTTGCCTCTTCTACGGTACCTTTTTATGGTGGGGTGGCCTGAGTATTTAAAGTAGACTATATTTCACATATAAATTCAGTATCTTCATGCCCGTTATTTTCACGGATGGATAAATGATGATTCATGAACTTTTTTTTAGTATTACATTTTCATGTACTATTGTCATGTGCTATCATATGTATAAATTAATTTTTTGTGATGTATTTTTTAATGGTGCAATGGTTAATGCGCTCCAACATTCTTGGAGAGAGTTTTTGGAAATTTATCTTATTGAAATATTTATTTTAATTTTCTTTGTGTTCTTTCAGGAGTTTTAGGATATTAAATGTACTTTTAAGAATTATTAAGCCACAAAAATATTATTATCATTTATTATTTTTATTTTATAGAATATATTTTTATCATCAATCCATTCCTAAAGACCTACCAATTGATTCAATGTACAATTCCGATTTAACAACCTTGCTTCACAGGCCAACCTTTATTATTATTATTTTTTATGACTTGAATAATGTTGGTGGACTTTATTCCCAAAACTTAATTTTCTTCAAACAAGTTCTACTAAAGTTTGAGTGTGTGATCATATGATCCACAATATGGGTTAACATTATGTGTTTCGAAGGTGTTTGGCTGCAATTCATCATCCCACTGCAAATAGTAACTAATTGCAACTTTTGATTATCATAGGTAAACAAAAAGTTTGCAAACTAATTGCAACTTTTGATTATCATAGGTAAACAAAAAGTTTGCAAATGATAAAGTTCTTCCATTTTGTTACATTGCAGATGCTGAAGTTGGAAGAACAAGAATTTCTTGGCGAAGCCAGTTGTGTAGTATCTGAGGTAAGATTCCTTGTATTCACTGGGGCCAAATCGAATTCAATAATGATGTTGCACACTTTTCCAGCTCTTTTGTCTGCCTATTTCATTGAGTTTGCTCCATATATTACATAAGTGGGTCAGTTTGAAAAATTATATACTGAAATGTTGCAATAGGTTTTTCAATTAAAAAAATAAAAGAAAAAGGGAACAGCTTTTCCTTGACCTCTTTGGTTGACCAGCATTACATAACTGAGCAACTAGTCAAAATATTAGGTCCGTTATGTATCACAGGATATGTTTGGTTTGAACCATGTGTGTGTCTAAATATGTGTTCATCGTATATGCCGAAGTCTTAAAAATCATTGGATTTTGTTGCTTGGTAAATAGTTCAACTGGTTGCCTTTACCTACATTTGAGCAAACTACATGTTTTAATTATTAGAGAAACTTTCCATCTAAGCAATTAAACAATATTAACCATAGAATTATTATTCTCGTGCTAGCACTCGCATATATTAGCCATCAATAATTATCCTGGCATTCTTCATCACTCTATATTAACAGTGTCAAAGTGACAAAATTTGGATATAAGCATACCCAACAGTTCCGAGTTGGCGGGAAATCTGTGAAAAGTAGATGCATATGGGACTTCTTGAACACATGTCCTCATTTAAGTCTAAATTACACACCTTTGTCCGTGGACTGTTCTTTTGACTACATTGCTGCATATTTCACAACACGTGTCTCACTGCATTCTACTGGCCCCCTTTTGGGTCCCATGACATGCGTTAAAATGTGGATTCAAGTTTTGTGCAAGTCCCGATCAAATTTGGTTTGATCCACTCAAGGAACTCAAATTTGAGCAATGTGTGGAACTCCTATTACAAGCGCAACATATTTGGACAATTCTTTTCTGGCGGGACCCACTTGTGGCTTCCCCGTAGTTGAATATGTGCATGTATTTAAAACTGTGCAATAGATTTCTTCACTGAAGGATGGCTTTTCAGAATAGTGCTTCTATATCTCTTTCTTAAATGAGGCTTGTTCTGTAGGTATTATAATCTGAAATAGTTGTTTGGGAAGTTCTTTCTTTTTATGTAGAAATATTCGTAAATGTTTACTTCTCTTTCTCCTTTTTTAACTCTACAGATATTGACTAAACAAAGTCGGAGTTTGACCCTTCGCCTTCACAATAAAAATAGGCGCAGTAGTCTGAAAAACTTGGGGACACTAACTGTCCATGCAGAGGAAACTGCCGGTTCAAGAAATGCTGTAGAGATGACATTCCATTGTTCCAACTTGGATAACAAGGACCTATTTTCGAAATGCGTATGTATTTGGCAGCATATATCATTATGGAGCTTTTAGTTACTTGTGGAATTTTTAGCTCTTAGATATTTTTGTCCTTGCTGCTTTCAGGATCCTTTCTTGAGTGTATCTAGGATTGTTGAGACTGGTATTACTGTTCCAATTTACAAGACAGAAGTCGTGAATAACAACTTGAATCCAATTAGGAAGCCTCTATGTCTCACAATCCAGCAATTTGGGAGCAAGGCAAGTTTGTCAATTCTTGTGATTAGATCTGGAATGGATTAAGCTTAGTTTATGATATCTGTGGTTGTCTCATGTTTTTGTGGCAATGATTTATGTTTGAGCTAATTTAACATAAAGGCTCTTAACAATTTTGCATTTTTGAAGGCTTAGTCACTGTTGGAAATGTAACTGAAGGGACATAATTATTTTATCTCTCAATCATAACACTTTCTCCCTTGATCCAGATTTGTTAATTTACATTTTGTGATGGATACAACTACAGGTTGCTATTATTTATTTATTTTATTGGTTGTTTACCAAAAAAAAAAGCTCTCTTTGGTGCAGGATAATCCATTAGTTATTGAGTGCTTTGATTTCAATAGCAGTGGCAATCATGTACTGATCGGGTAATTGTTCAATTTATTCGTCTTGTCAATTCCTTTTTTTTTTTTTTTTTTTTTTGCCTTTTGTCTAACTGTTCCTTCTTTTGTTTTGTTTTGTTTTGTTTAATTTTTTTTTTTTTTTTTTCTGTGCCTTTTGCTTGTTTTATTATTATTTTTTTTCAGAATTCCTTTTTTCTTTTATTGCTCATTATATTGACACTGCAGTTCATATGAAACAGTAAAATGCAGAAATCAGTGAAGGATCTTGAAAAACTTCACAAAGAAAAGATTGGTGCAAATTTTATCATACCATCTGCTCGCCAGGGTCATGAAAAGGTATTTATTTTGTACTTGAAAAGGATTTTAGCCACTTGTTGCATGTCTGTCATGTCTTAAACTGCACTGTGCTTATCTGTATGTAGGTTCTGAAGGGCCAACTGTTTGTTTATGGCTTCCTTGAAAAGGAACTGCACAGTTTTATCGATTACATTTCTAGTGGCTTTCAACTCAACTTTATGGTTGCGGTTGATTTTACCGGTAATAGACCTTCAAAAGTTAAAAGAGCTATACCATTCCAGCCAATTTTATATTTGTATATAGAGTTGTTTGGCTCATGAATTGAATTTGATTTTTTTTTTTCCAGCTTCAAATGGAAATCCTCGCAGTGTAAGTTCTTTGCACTACATTGATCCTTCAGGCCAGTTGAATGATTACCAGCAGGTAAGGTGGTGCCACCTGTGGTGTTCAAATTTGGAAGTATCTATAGCTTCAAAAATAATTTAAAAAATCTTCAATAGTTTATATTGGGGCTTAATAGCCTACCATTTAGTCAGATACCCTTGAGTGTACTCCTGTGGTGTTCTTAAACTCTGGAAGTGTCTATGCTTAAAGAATAAATTTTAAAATTTGTACTAGCTTATAGGGGCTAAAGAGCCTACATTAAGTCGGGTACCCTCGACTTCTCCCATGGGAATGCAGACTCATAAACTTGTTTTATCTTTTGATCACATTGATTTGACCTGTCGATGTGATTATGAACTGCTGATTCTATGAAAGTGACTGTTAAAGTGAGTGCTTAATTTAATGACTGAACTCCTCGCAGGCTATAACGGAGGTAGGGGAGGTCATACAATTCTATGATTCTAACAGGCGATTTGCAGCTTGGGGCTTTGGAGGAAGGACGTTTGATGGTTCAGTATCTCACTGCTTTAACTTGAGCAGCACAGGTGGCTTTGAGGTAAATATCTTGCAAGGGATGGAAGAGACATCCTACTTTACTTCTTTTTAATTTGGGTATTACCTTGATTTATCCTGCCCTGAAGATTTCTAAAAATACTCTGACGTCCCCTGCCGTGAAGTAAACATTAGGGCCGTTAGACAATTTTATGTGAAAGTCCAAAACTACCCTTACAGTAAACAAAATGACATAACTGACCTTACAAAATTTATGGAAAGACAAATTTAACCTTTCTATTTGGACAATAATACCCTTATTGATTGAGACCCATTTCATTATTTTAACATCCAGCTTTTATCTCATTCTCTCTCTTTTTGGTTGTTGGATAAGTGGCTTCCTCGCTCTCAAAACACGAAGCTGCTCTCTCCATTTATAGAGCACATCTTCTTGTTAAGAGCTTCTCTCCAGCTAGTGCCCAATATTTTATGCCTCTCTCTCTCTCTCTCTCTCTCTCTCTCTCTCTCTCTCTCTCATGTTATCTCACTGTTCTGGTTGCTATTGTGACTGTTACTTTATATTAGTTTGGATTGGTTGATCTATGTTTTATTGGTTGTAGTAATATACACTTAAAAAAAGTTCCTTGAACAAACATACCAATTTCTTCTTTTACTAGGAAAATTGAAAAACAGAACCAAATAATATTCAATCCACACGTAGTTGGTAGTTGAACTTTCAGCTCAAATTGGAGTTAGAAATAGAAAAAGAAACAAAAAACAAACAAATATGAGATCAAAGAGGAAAACCTAAAAGCTAATAAATTAATATTCAAACATATGCGAATATCTAAGAACTCATACAAGTAATGGAACTTCAAGGTCAAGTTTGGAAATTGGAAAACAGAACAAACCGAATAAGTGACTCATGATCTGATTCTAAAAATATAACTGAGTGTTGAAGAAACATTGAAGAGAGAGATATGCCAACTCTACCTCACAACCTTCACAGCGAACGGTAAAGACTTGACAGTGGTTAATTCTGGCTGGTGTCAGATATTTATTATAAAACTTTCATCTGATATTTTTTACCCAAACCTCAAGGGAGGTCGAAGTAATTTACACTTTTAGTTCTTGTTTTATGTGCTGCTTGTCTTGTTTCTAAATGCAGGGTGTGCCACCTTTCAACTTGGTGGTAAGAAGGTATCTTTCATTCTGTTAGGAACACAGTTAAGATACCTCTAGGTTTCATTCTGTTAGGGTGTGCCACCTTTCTAGGTTACAAATGTCAGTGCCGAAAGTTGTTTAGCCTAATCTATCGTTAGTCTCTTATTTATCCTAGTTTATGTATAAAGATACCAGACCGTGTGGAAAGACAAGCTTGATTTTTTGTGCAGTATGTTGCCTTAAACATCATATTTTCATCCCAGTGATGGGTGTATGGGGGTAGTGATCCTGCCGTCATTGATGAATAATCATACAAGTCTGGTTCCTTGCATCTTTTACATGATGTGATGGTCAATTTCCCTTCATGTTACAGGTTGAAGGAGTTGAAGGTATATTGTCTGCTTATTTAAGTGCTCTACACAATGTTGCTCTTGCTGGACCCACCTTATTTGGTCCGGTTATCAACAAGGCTGCAGAAATTGCTGGGCATTCCTTCTCATACAACAAGAGCAAGTACTTTGTCTTGCTGATTATAACGGTAGTGAATCAAACGACAAATATTTGCTTCTTTCTTCTTTCTCTTTTTTATTTTTGTAATAAAATAATTTCATACTTTTGTAGGATGGAGTCCTTACTGATCTTCAGGAAACTAAAGATGCTTTAGTGAGAGCATCCAACCTACCACTTTCAATTCTTATTGTTGGAGTGGGTGGTGCAGATTTCGAAAAAATGGAGGTAGTATATCCTTATTTTTTGTATTCAGATTTGGCCTTCAATTAATTCACTTTTATTAGCATAACAGCACTAAAAATCCTTTCATTGTTGGTGTTGGATGTTATCCTTGTACAAACCTGTGTTAAAATTGGTAATGTGACATAATTCTTGTTTATCTTGCAGATCCTAGATGCTGATGGTCGACAAAGATTAGAGAGTTCCACAAGAAGGATAGCTACACGAGACATTGTACAATTTGTTCCGATGCGTGATGTGCATGGTGAGTTCATCCTTGTTTAGCTTACAAATTTTAAAGATGGTAGAACATTTCGGTCAGATTTTTCTTGTTCCTCATATGCAATTCTAAAACATCATTGTTCTTTTCATGTTCCTATTTTTGAGAGTATGTGTACCTACTGTATTCTTGTCAACGTTCTTCGACGCTTTAAGCTTCTTAGCTTGCCTGTTAATGATCTCAAGTTGCAGGTGGATTCAAAGGTGGTCTTGGTTATTAATACCAAATAGTGCAGTTGTGAGGGGTTCAAGATCAAATTTTGATGTTCATTGGGTATTTCTGTTACAATCTCACTCTAATGAATACATTTATTATGTTAGGAGCAGATTACTGGTTCAGCTGAGCTTAGTTGCTTCAAGCTTGGCTTGTCCCAGCAAGCCGCCTTTGATGCTTTGAGCCTTTTGGTTGTTTAACCTGGAAGAAGCTAATGTGAAAATGGATTAGGAGACATGATTCATGCATGATTCTAATTGATTGGAATTGAGAAATAAGTTTTCCCAACAGTTCAGAGAGTGATTTTGATGGAAACATCAACGGTGATGGTGGGCAGACTTCCAAGGCACTTACTGCTAATTGCCGTGCGCAATTTGTAGCTCTTAAGTTGGTGTTGAAAGAAATAGCTAGGTTGGAGAACTAGACTACCAATCAATAGTGCAGTGCTGCCTTGTTATGACATGACTAGGAAATCTATATTTTGCTTTTAGCAGTAACACTTAATGTTGTCTTGAGCCTGAATAGGGTTCTGCTAATGCACACTCTTGAACCTGATGTAAACCTAGCAATTTTCAAAAGGCAGTTTGTGTACGAATTAATTATATGTGAAACTATCCTCCTTCTGTTTTGTTATAGTTTTCATCTTTTGCTTTTCTATTTCACTGTAAATAAAAAATTTTAGTCCCTCGTGCAGGTGGGCAGATCTCGGTTGTTCAGGCTCTCTTGAAAGAGCTACCTGGCCAGTTTTTGACTTACATGCGGAGTAGATGCATTAAACCGGAGTAGATGCATTAAACCACACATGGGCATTGTATCCCATCTTGGTTGAAGCTGTGTGCTGGCATCACTACATGTACAGGAATTTTCTTGTTGTTTCAAACTTTATCATTTGCAATTGAATGGTCAAAACCGTATATCCGTGAATGGTCAAAACCTGTATTCAACATATTTCAAGTCAATTTTTTGTATCTTAAAAATTGGGATTTAAGGAGCTCTGACACTTGGGCATGCACAAGCACCTGATGGACAAACCTAAATAGGTTGTATGTGTAAAGGGATAGAGAAATGTGTAACTCTCTGTTTCATTATTGCAGTTCTGAGGTAAATACGGTGTGTCCTTTTCTCCCTCTTTGGATTGGTGTAGATGATGCCTCAATATACCGTCAGGAAGTGGGAAAGGTAGCCATGTTTAGAGGAAGGCAAGTAAGCTGTGGATGACAGCTCTACTAAGCATTGTGTTGAATACATAGAATGAAAGGATTAGGAGGCCCTTTTAAGGGTGTGGAAGTGTTTATGCAGTTCTTAGCCTTTTTTTCTTCTTCTTTTTGAAGCATTATTTGCATTAAACCCATCAAAAACATGATGAGCTCAATTTACAATCTTTTGTCCAACAAAGGGTCATAAGTTCGTTTACCCACCCAGTGTGGTACCTAGTAGAATGAATACAGACCTAATATTTGGCATCATTTAAACAAAGTGACTGCTCTCAACTACCTAACAAGCTGAGCATTTTAACAATGCACCATGCAGTTGCCCCTAATCTTACCTCAAATACAAAATGGTGATAAAATCAATTTTCAAACGAAAAAATGACAAAAAATAAAAAAATAAAAGAAGTCATTAAAAATGTAAACTAATCATGTCACTATCTTTTGGGTTATGTGGCCCCCATTCTTTTTATTTACAAAAATACCTATAGTTTTTGTTAAAATCTTAAAAATGCCCCTACTCAATTTTTGATAATACCCAACTATATATGTGTTTTATTCAATTCCGCCTCCTCTAATACATTTCTCTGGTTTGTCACTGTACTTGTGCGGTGACTTCTGTGGGTGCAGTGTGTGTGTTTATATTACACATGTTTGCATGACAAAATGCAAGAAAGGGAAACCTGTAAGACAGGGTTAGGTCGATCGCAGCAGTAATGATCGAGGGAAAGGAGTGCATTGATGCCTTTCGAGCCAAGGACAAGCCCAACAAATTAATCAAAGAATAAGAAATGAAATTGGAGAATGGAGAGAGAGAGGGTATGTAAATATATACTAGGTGTGATTTAAGATAGTTTATGCATAATACCGGAGATAATGGTAAGCAGCAAAAGTGATGAAGTAGTGAATGTGTTCGATGAAAGCCCCCTGAAAGATGGGCCGATGACCGCGGAATAATGATACGATGATCAACAGCCACATCTCAAGGTCAATGTCCCTTCCCTTGGTTTTTTTAGTTACTACCAACTACAAAAGTCCCGCCTATTAAGCAAAGACAAACAAAATACAACAAAATGCGTCCACACAAATAGAATCAAAAAAAATCTTTTGAGGGCAATGGGTTTAGGGGACAGAATGTGTAACGTAATTAATGAGAAATTATTACGAGGTTTGAGATAATAGAAAAACTGATTTTTGACGTATTTACTGATGATGTGTCACACACATGATTATTGATCTAGAATCATGTAATAATTTTTCATAATTTAAGGCAAATTTTTATAATAGTATTTAAATTGAAACTAGTAGTATGAGAGTGTCAAATCCAACTTAATAGTAGTGGCTCCACACGACCCATTGATCATCCATTTGAAGATAAATTAATATATGGTATAGGGATCATTGGTTCTGGATCAATCACCAACTAATATCCAAGTAAATATGTCACTTTTGCAAAGGTTTTAATGAATTTTTTTCCTTACATGTCACTGACTAATATGCAAGTAAATACGTCACTTTTGCATAACTTTTAATCAATTTTTTCCTTAAATGTCAATTATTAATTAATGAATCTCTTAAGATAAATAATTCCACAACTATGTAATAATTTCTCTGATTTAAGACTATTTCAGCCCAAATAGTAATGCTCTTTGGACAAATACTACAATTATAGTGTAATGTTAAGCCAAGAGTGCAAGTCTTATTAACATATGAGTGCGAGTTAAATTTGCCACAAGAATTTTTTTTTTTGAAAGTTTTAATTTGCATGATAATGCAATGGGCTATTTGCTTTGGAGTTTTTTTTTTTAATTTCTTTTTTTCCATGGGGCTAAACAGGTATTTTAGGCAGTTAAAGGGTTGGAGCACCTTTGAAATAAATTTCTTTTAATTTTAAATTCAGTGGGCAGATTCAATGCTTCCAAACTCAATATTGACCACGACAACTACAAACAAACACAAGGAGAGAAAATTTGTTTGCACATAAGAGGAAAGATTACAGTGGAATAATTTCATTTGCATAGAAGTTAAAACAGTCTTGAACTTTAAAGAAAGCTTGAATGTTGTCTTTCGCCTCTCATTACAGTTTAGCTTCATTTTTTATCTGGCTGGATACATTTCACATATATGAACAACTGAGAATCAAACTATTAATCCCCAAAAGGAAAATAAAAACAAGGTATTGGTAGTGGTTGAACCAATCATCAGATTAGTAATCATAAACCTCAAAACAAGAAAACCATAAAATAATGGTTTTAATAAATTGAACATCAGGCATCAGTGCAACCAAGTCGAAGACTATAGGTCTGCTTCGTCTATGGCTTTCTCTATAATGTCAATGCAAAAACCCACAGATTTTTCCTGAGACATGGCCTCTGCTAGCTTTGCTCGGGCTCCTTCATGGCGACGCAATATTAGAATAGTATTGAGAACAGCCCACCTCACCTGAGAATCCGCCTTCTTCTGAGTGAAACCCAAGCTTTGGAGCAACATGTCCAACTGTTACATCAATAAAATCATTCAGTTAGTCATATAACTACTGTACATTGTATCATCCATGTCATAAGTAACTCAGCCAAAGGAACCTGTTCGTTAGCGGCCAAGAGAGGACACCAAAGTTTGATGAAATGACAAAATGATTTGCATAAGATTGTTAACAATGTGAACGAATATCAAAAGCGTGCCTAAGATTGTTGAAATTATCGTTGAATGAGAAGCTTAAAGTTTCGGTCCCTGCAATGGCGGGACAAGAATTGGATATTGTCCCTTTTTAATGTTAAACTAAATACTGTCTAAATTTACGGTGAATCAACTCTAGTGACACTGAGTCAAAGTGGATATGCTTCGAGCTGATGCATTGGGTCCTCATTTAACTTAATGAAGCGAAAATGAGTCACTTGACTCAATGAAGCAAAAATGAGTGATTTACTATGGCACCCTCAAAAAATGAGTAGACGATTGTGGCACTAACATGGCTATATGCAAAGGGACTCTGATTGAGTAAACTCTATCACATTCAAAAGCATGAACTCGCAGCTCTTTGCATTCAGCTCTCTGTTGTGACACAGATTCTTTTTAGAAAATAAGCAGAGAGGATAAGTGTAAACCTTATTGATATCAGAAAGGCCTCCCTCGGAGTATCCATGTAGAAGATACTCAGTCGCCACGCCCGCTAGCGCTATACAAGAGAATCTGTTCAGCATCTAATAAGAAGTATCCCTTCGTTAGAATTTCTTTACTTCCGACAAGATAGAATCGATAATTCATGGAGAAACATTCAATCTGCAATATCTACGTGAAGCAATGATCATGTGAAAGGAGAAATACCGTGGAGGATACTTTTCCAGCATTAACCTGCATATTATGTGAATAGCTGCACATCAAAGGACAAAGACACGTAATAAATCAAAAATTAAAATCTCTCCAAATTCTTCTACTAGACTATTTTATTTAGCAATTATCAAATAAGCTTTCATCATCAACAATTTTCAGGGTGTTAATTGTCAATCAGTAACTAATTTCCAATACCTTTGCATTTACGGGATGCCATTTTATAGTTTCAGATTTTAGCCTCAAATAAAATATTAGTGTCAGTATGGATGCAGACTGGATCATCCATACCTTGAGAAAATTGTATGTAATCGGCCTCAAAATTGAGCCAATACATCGCAATGTATGGTCCACAGTTAAAATGCAAAACCAGGAATGGTGACTCAATAACGCCTTAAATTTCATAGAGGTCTATTGTCCTCTCTTAAGGTAAAGGTACAAGTTATGAGACATGAATCAGTTAGATCTAAGCATTAAAACGAGGAACGTGCAGCAATTCAATATATTGATGCTGGCGCAGAGCAAAAACATTTATGTTGGTATATTAGCTCAGAGTTCCGTCTTTTTTAGCCTTCGGATTTCTGTTTATCTTCACCGTAAATACGCAGGATCAACCAATTATTGAAGCTTTTATTCAAATTTCTAGCTATTTATGCCTTACTGGTTCAATAAGGCATCATAGTATAGGGAGTGTAGACTACCTTCTCCATGGATATAGTGGCAACTTAACTTGTGACTATGGCATACACAAAAAGCCATCAGCTATGGTGAAAATATCTTCCATACCTTGCGACAGGTTAGAGCTACTGACAAGAACCATACATTTCCCGTGTACCAGAGAAGGTGTGGTAGGGTGCTCCTCCATAGGCTAGTTACGAGAGTATGAGGATCAACATTCTCCCAACTCCCAACCCAACCCAACAATTAACTTTTAAAAATAAAAAATAAAAAATGTAAAAGGGTCAGGGCCAAGACAACAAAAGCACAAATAATATAACAGTTACGGAAGCCTATTAGAAATGGTACTAAAATTTTGAAGAAAACTACTTCATCAAACTCAAGATCCACAAATGCAGTTCCTGCCTGAACATTGAGTGATCCTTCCTTCTTCAAAGCTTCCAGACTTGATAGCGTATACCCCTTGGGAAGAATTCCCAGCAAGTAAGCAATTAAGAAATGGCCAGCTTCATGCTGCATTAAATTTTGTGAGATGATCAATTCAAGACGAGAGATATCAGTCTCATCAAGATGTGATAATAAGCAGACCTTTTTTTTCGGTAAATAGATAATTAGCAGACTTCCATGCTGATAAAAATGTACACAGCTAAAAAGGTAACACCAAAAGTATACAGAGTTACACCTCTTTAACACATTTCAAGGTTTGGAACAATAAGTTCTTGAATGTCATCATATACATGCAAAATAATTTGCACATGATGTTTCTCTAATTATGCATTACAGAATTCTTAGTCTAATGGTGACTTGGATTCGGCAAGTCGTCTATATATTGGACTGAGTCTAATGAAAAAAAAAAAAAAATAAGGCCATTACCCAGTATTACGTCACTGTGAGGTACTAAGAGGGCTGGAATAATACAGCAGTAACATTTGACATTTACATAAGTGGTTCTTCCCAAACATAAAACCTGCATAATGTCATACTTAGCAACAGGAGCTTTTACCAGGTGATGGCCCAATTAACAGAAGAGATTGAATACATAAAGACGCATGCGCTCAGAGACACACAGATAGAGATCTTACTTGAACAACCCTATTGTGGTACTTTTGGCTAAAGGTGCGACCAATTGTATCAAGAACCAAGTTGCTGACTCCTCCATTAAACGAAACCTATGAACACGCGATATCTGAGTCAGTCATTGAAATCAAACACAAGGATTTCAACAAAAAAGAAAAAAGAAAAGAAGAAGCTCATCCCAAGTTGAACTTTCCTCATCCTTATCAGATGCAGACAGTTTGCGAGTAATTTTGTGCACCCATAGGGATTAGGCTCAACTCTAAAAAAGTTAGGGACATGATCATGAGGTTTGGCAAATCCAGTGTTTGTGTTTTTATCTATTACATGTAAAACAACTAACAATGTAATTCCAGCAGATGATCACAAAACTAGTCTTCTTCTTTTTCTTTAATATACATTCTCGGGAAAAGGTTAGGACATGGGGTAATTCATCATAGCCTTCAAAGTTCACATGCAAATAGAAGTCATAAACTATTTAAAGAAATCTACAAGATTCCAACTTTCTACATCAAGGCTACCCAAATGGTGTCCAAGGTTATTATTGGGCAAAAGGAATGTAAAGCAAACAAGATATCTCCACAACTGAATGCAAATAAGTCCGTTCGCGTTTGTGAAATATTGCCCAACTAAGGCAACATGTTTCTATAACGAAATGGATCAACAGTGAAAGTCAGATAAACATGAATAAGTTACCGAGTCTAGTGTCCCTAGAAACAACAATCCCAAGGAGAAATAGAAGATTTGTTGCGTGCTAAATCCAAACACATTCCATGCAGAAATTCCTCCTAAGACACCTGCAAGCTGCAGGTTTCTTTCTATGGAACCAAGAGTTGCATCCTCTGGCGATAGAATAGACGAAGTTTCTATTCCATTCAGTTTTAGTTCATCCAAGGTGAAGAACCTCTGGGGTACCTGTGCAGTAAATCCACTCATTCAGTATACCAAGCTCCAAGTTGTTGTAAGATAAATATCATAAATTGCGAGAAAGTGTTGGGATTTATATGCCCTGGCATAACAAATTTCTATCCGAATTATAGTGACATATGTTCTGACATATCTAAAATATTTATGACTTATATAATTGGTGAATTCAATGTATTATGTTTCGATTCACTATGAGATTGATAGTGTCCATGTAATTACAAGAAATATTTATGTATATGTATGTGATGGCAATCAATGCATGATATATAAATAGTAATTATAAATTGTTCATAGTCGGTAATTATGGATGGACTCATAATTAATTAAGACTTGAACTGGATCCGCGTTAGGTTGAGATATATTGCGAGAGCCGTCGTATGCAATTACTCCCTATCACCGTCATGGCATTTGACTCTTAAGCATGAGAAAAGTATAGACTCTTTTATTAATTAATAATTACTTTGATTTGTTCGGTGGATTCTTCGGGATCCTTAGACCGACACTTTGGGTAGTTATGTAATTAATAGTTAGAGGATTATATTTTCAATATTTGCATCATTGCTACTTGTATTTATTTTGTATTGATTATGGTTGATCACAAACTAAATTCGAAGGCCTTCGTGTGTTTTTAGACAAAATGATTTATTATATATATATTTATTTAAATTATTATTTTTGTCAAACAAATGTTTTATTGTGATCGAGCCAGAAATAATCAGAGGTACCAAAATAGATATATTAATTAAGTAATCGGATTGATGGCTTTATTTATCCGATAACTAATTATGCATAGAGGGGTCAAAGTGCAATATTGACTTAGAAGTTATTTATTATTTAATTGGAGTTCAATTAATTTCTTTTAGTGGAGTAGAAATTAATTTATGAATTAATTAAATTGGGTCCATGGACCGGGTCAATTATTAATTCGTTGTAGCCAATAAAATAATAGGCCCAATGGATTCTCACTCATAGCCCAACTTGATATTGAAATCATATTAGATTTGAGACATATGAATTAGAGATGGAGAAGGATTTGTTGTTTCCTTTTCTTTATTTTTATGTTGCCTATAAATATACATGGTCTATGTATATTTTGGTGGGTGATTTATAATGAGAGGAAAAAGGAATTTATTTTCTCTCTCTAGAAAATTAGGGTTTATGTTCTCATCTAATAAAGGCTCCCACAAGCCTAGTTTTTCAAGGTCATTCATGGAGGCTTATGAGTGATTCCTAAAGGCAAGACCATTACCAAGAAGATGGAGCTCCAAGGAGAAGGCATCTTGCTAAGGGATTTACAATAAGTGAGAACATTCACTTTAGAGGAAAGATTTAAAGGTTTACTCAGACCTTTGATGTAAGTATTCAATCCATTAATTGAATGATATATCATATTTTTATTTTTTTTGCATAAAATTTGTCTCTATGTGATGAATCAAGATCTATGAATTAAAATCCCTCAAAAAGTTTTTAAAACTAACACGTTTCCCAACAGAAAGAACATATGCGCTTATCATAGTTTATAGTGATTCATTTGCATTCTCATGTAGAAATGGTAAACTCCTAATGATGCTGCTTGAAACTGTCTCTAACCAAGCGCAAGCTCGGTGCCACCCATATATACCATAACTGGTTCACAACACATCTAAATAAGAATCTGAAAACCATGCTCTCTATAAATTATAAACCAGTACATTATAGAATGATCCAATGACTTAGGAGTTAGGACCTCATTGATTCCTAATCAAACACACATCATCAGTCATGAGCAATTCTAATTAAATTTTAGTTCCTTAAAAGAACACCAAGTAAAAAGCAATTTCTTTCTAGGGTCATTAGAACCTTCCTCAATAACACATGGGTGAAGATAATTTCATTAATCCTTAAAAAAAATTCATAGCTCAAAGGGCAATTCTAACAAAATTTTCATTTGCTTAACATTTGTGGGGGTCATTAGAGTCTTCCATAGCACACATGGGTGAAATACAATTTAATTAAAAATCCCAAATTGCAAAGCTATAAACTTCAACATTTCAAATACAAAGAACAAACATTAAAATGGGTAGCATTCGAAAAAAAAAAAAAAAAAAAAAAACTGAAGCAATCAAACTTGCCTTGCAGCACCAAAACAACGCAGACCCCCAGGTCTGGCCTGCAAATCCTTGACAAGTGAAAGTGCAGCTCTTTCACCCCTTTTTCTTAGCTCCTTGTCAACTTGTTCCAAGACTTGCCATCTTGATGACACACTGGGTTCAATCAAACTTGCAATTCTAAAACTGGGTAATCTCAGTCGTGAATGGGATGATGACAACCCTAGCCCTGCATGATAAACCACACTGCCCATACAAGGAATTTGCAATACCAAAAGAACAAATTTGGAGTACTAGAAAAACCTGTTTGCTTGCTATTTCAAAACAGTTCACATCATCGGGCGTTTGCCTCTCATTCTCAACGACTGAATAAAAGGATAATTAACATAGAAAATATGAGACTAGGGTGTGTTTGGTAGGGTTGATTTGGAGGGATAGGGTGGGAGTGTGTTGGGTAAGGTTGATTTGGAAGAATGGGGAGATAAAAGAGAAGATAGGGCCTCTCCCTCATTTGGTTTCTCACATAATTTGAGAGGGTTAATTTCACTCACATTCTTTTAGATTTGGCTGAATATTAACTTCAAATATCTTTCGATAATAATCATTCTTACTTTTTCGTTACAGAATTCGTTAAAAATATATAAAAGATATTGTTGCCCTAAATTTTTTAATCTCATCTAATCTCAATTATCAGATGGACAATACTTGCATCCAACTCAGGTTGGATGAAGTTTGTCCAACCTGGGTACATGGCCCGTTCAAGTCATGACACATGTCATAAATAATATAAAATTCTGTTGAATATTGCCCGTCAATTTTCGGATATTACCCGTTTTCTTGCCTAGCTGCCGAGTCAACTCCTCCATCTTCCCTCAGATCCGATTCTCATTTGGTGGCTATTGGCAAAGAAGCAACCGGTGTTGAGGTCGGCGGTGTAATCTGTTGTCGCCGAGGTGGCCTAAGAAGAGTATGGAAAGGATAGAGCGAGTGGTGTTGGATTGGTGGCTGTTGGAGATGAGTTGACTCGGCAGCGAGGTAGAGCCACGGCCAAATTGATGAAGACCTCATTGCCGACGGCGATGGCTTCGATTTGGGTGTAGGGTTGGTGGCCGACCATGACTACCGCCACCGTCGGTCCTCTCATCTCTCTAACCTCCTACCGCCACCCACAATCGGCCCCTCCACCACTGCTCACCCACCATACGAAACAACCATCTCCACCCCTTCCCTGCACCACCCACAATCGGCATCCCTGCGAGCTCTCTCTCTCCGTTTAGATCACACAGTTGTCAGAATCTAGGTTTAGGTTTAGACTCCATTTTGTGCTATTGATTCATCACCGAAATCCCCAAATCGAAGAACGAATCAGCCATCATCGTCTTTTGATTTGACGGCGGAATTGGCTAAATTCCCAGTAGCGGCGCTCCATTGGGTCAGGACGAGTTACCAATCAACCTTGCCGTCGTCGTCCGGTATCTCGTCACCATGGTAGGTCGTCTGCCCTGCCGCCGTCATCTCCTGTAACTGCCAGGACGCCATTTCTTGCGCCGACAGCTCACCAGTATTGGTTGTGGTGTATATATATATATATATCTGTATAAGGGTTTACTGGTTTTGGGGGTGAGAAAGATTAATGATGAAATAGGTTTTTTTTTTTTTTAATTGGGTTCACTGGTTAGGTGAGTGAAAGAAAGATGGCGTTAGATGGGTTTGTTGGCTGGGTGAGAGATAAAAGAAAGAGAAAGGAGGTCAAGAATGGTGGTGGTGGTGGCAGCGACGGAAAGATACGAGGTAGGGAGCGATCTTCTGAAAAAACAAAAAAAAATTTGTTCTGTCGGGTCAAACCCATAATTATAGCAAACAGAGGAAAAAAAGTTATAGTTTACCATATCAATCCATATCAAATTACCATATCAATCTTTGTTGCATAATTATAGCAAACAGAGGTGGTTGTGATGGCGGTGGATGGGTTTTGCAGATTCGAGCGACATATAATAAAAACAATATTTGGGTAGACATAAAACCAAAAGGTGTCATAGACTTCGGCGGCCAAGAAAGCGAGATTCTTAAACTAGAGTTGAAGATGCTGAAATAAGAGTTTAATGAGTCTTGCAGATTATGGCAATGAGATTGGTGATGGGTTAGGGCAGTGGTGGTTGTGGTGGCGGCGACGATTGGTGATGGGTTGGGATTGGGATTGTGTGGGTGGTGGCGTAACGATTGGTGATGGTGTGGGTGGTGGCTGCGACGGATGGTGATGGGTTAGGATTTGGATTGTATGGGTGAAGGCCACGGCAACTGGTGATGGGTTGGGATTGTGTGGGCAATGGTGGCAACGATAGCAATGACGGGTGCTCTGTGGTGTATATCTATGTCTATGTGTATATATATTGGTGATGGGCTGGGATTGTGTGGGCGGCGGTGATGACGGATGCTCTGTTTGTATCTATGTTTGTGTGTATATATATTGGTGATGGGCTGGAGTTGTGTGGGCAGTAGTGGCGACGACGATGGCGATGGCGGATGCTCTGTGTGTATCTATGTTTGTGTGTATCTATATATATGTGTATATCTTTATATGTAATTTGTAAATTTACAAATTTTTAGGGGTATTTTAGTCTTTTAATTTAATTATTTAGGTTGAAGATTGTTTTGACAAATTCAAAGGGTATTTAAGTCATTTTATATCGTGTCAAATTTGTTCCACTAACGGTTGAGGTGTGAGTGAAAAACAGAGCCAAAGTTAGTGATAATTATTTTCGACATATATTTGAAGGTGATATTCGGGGCAAACTTGAAGGAGTGTTAGTGAAATTAACCCAATTTGAAAAGATAGGGAGAGAAATGATAGTGGAGTAAGTGATTAATTAGTAATACCAAAAATACCCTTCACAAATTAATATACACAAAAATTATTCCATTTATGTCCCAAACAAGAATAATAATTATATTTTTTTTTTTCTGAAAGGATAGGACAGTAATTTAGTCACTACCTTTTCTTTTCTTTTCTCTCCTTTATTTTATCCAAACAAGAATAGCTATCGTTTTTTTTCTTTTCTCTCCTATCTATCCAACCACATATAGAAATTATTAGTATCATTTATTTTCTTTTCTTTTCTCTCCTAACTAATACTATCTTCCTTCTTTTTTTTTTTTTTAACCCTATCAATCCAAACACACTGAAAGTAGGGCTTGCTTGGTTCCGAATTATGAAAACTCAATAATACAAAATACATGTTTTTATAATTTTTTAAAAATAAATTTTTGTTTTGTGAATTTTTAAAGATTGTTTTCAGTAAACTAAGCAGTCCTTAAGTTGTTTTTTTTTTTTTTTTTTTTCACAAGAAATTCGGTGGTTCACTCTGCGTCCAAGGAGATTAAATCCTCACACTTCTAATTTCTAATTTAAAAGGCCTGATGTACCCCTATAGCGCTACTGTTTTAAAAATGAGATAAGATAAAAAATAATAAGAAGAAGAAGACGAAGAAGAAAGGACAAAGTGAGAAAAATATCCCTAATATTTATTTTTTGGACAAATAATATCTATATTCTTTATTTTGGTTATATAACCCCGATAATGTTGAAAAATGTGACAAATAATGGCTTAATGTCAGAAAATGACCTTTTAGAACTATTTTAAGTTAGAAAATTACTAAAACACCCTTTCGCTATCCACAAAATACTCGTTATACCTTATATATATATATATATATCACATTTTCTCTTGGCATTTCAGTCATTTTACATTTACTTAGTTTTTTTAACTTTTTAAATCAGTTACATAAGTGCATTTTAGTCTTTTAATCCCTCCACTGACAACTCTTGTTCGCTTCAAAAGTAAAGATTATGAACTTTTAAAACCATGTAAAGAGTTATATGTCATATATACATACCATAAAAATGTTTATTGTCCTCAACCCAACAATAAATATATATATCTTATTTCTTCACAAATAATTTACACCCCTATTTATCCATGTTGTCGTTAGACTTAAATCTCTATCTCACTCAAAGACTTACTTTATCCTGAACTTAAATATCAACCTTTTTTTTTAGTTTCATCAGCATTTTAATTTGAAGACTGAGGAGGTATTGAACTATAGTAGAACCGTATGATTATTAATTCTTTTAAAAAATTAATTTATTAATTAATTGAATAAACTCACACATTCACATGCCCCTTCACAGATTTAAACATTTGACCTTCTATTTAAAAAACTAGCCTACATAAGAAACAGTCTTAAGTTGATAAACACCCCAAGACAAACCAATTATAAGCGTTCATTTGAAGCTTTCAATTCGTATCAAGATTCAAATTTGTGTTCTCTTGATTGAGAGTTCAAACAATTTACCAATCCCACAAAACAACTACCCCTATAAGCAATGTTACAAAAACCTAGCAATTTTGTAATTACTTTAATTAAAAATAAATTAACAAAAACTCTTTTCAAATTTTAAAAACAGCAAAACTTTTTCTTTATCTCTCGATCACTAATTCCCAGATCGTAGTCGGTAAAAAAAAATTACAATTATATCATTTTCTAAATTTAATTACTCCATGATAGAATTTGTCACATACATACTCTAAAACTACAAACGTCACAAATCGAAAGGAAAGTACAGTACTGTCCTCCCCCTAAAAGTTGAAACTGGCAGCAGGAGTTTGCACGTGCCACTGTGTGCCTATCTCATCTTTCTTCTTATTGGCATTTTGGTAGATAGGATGTACATAAAACAACAGTTTTGTCATATCACCCCTCTGAAAGGCAAGGCCGTACACGACGGACTCCGTGTGCTGTCACGTGCCCTGCTAATATTAGTTTAAGCCCAACAAAATAAATTAGAGTAATTTGCTCTTGGGGCCCTTATCAAATTTAATTCAAAGTGAAAACTATAACCGTTAAATGCTTATCCCAGTAGCCAGGTGGCTAAAAAAAATAAAAAACCATTTAATATAAATATATTTTTAGAATTTAACAGTATTTCGTGTAGTAATTTAATGTACATCTAGCACATTGTGTCTTCTATACTACAATATTGATTAAGACAACATCGTTCTGTTTCCCATAGATGACTTACAATAACCTTTCTAGGGTTTCCAATTCGTTCTGTTTCCCATAGATGACTTACAATAACCTTTCTAGGGTTTCCAATTCATTCTCTTTCAGCTGAACATTCTTCACAAGGTAAACTTTTTCCAAAATCCCTAATCAATTTCCATATTATGCATCAACTTGTCGATTGTAGTATTTTACAGAGAACTAGACCAATGGTGGCAACTATGATTAGTT